GTCAGATGAAGGAGCGTACGAAGACTGGAGTTGTATTAGAGAGGCAGTTGTTTTCTTTGGTTTCTGGTGCTGCTCGGGTTAGCTGTTAGCTTGCCGTTTTGGTCCAAATAGTTTGTCTCCATACTTAAGCTGTTCAAAGAGCTATCTACAACAGGTAAGATAATGACAGAAAATAACTTTTAAAACTCCTGCTTTGAAAGGTATGAACTAGCCCTTTAAGAAGAGAAATAACTGTGTGGTATACCGTCCACAGTGAGCTCAATGTAGTGCTCTCCAGTGAACGTCTCATCCGTGATGGAGATCTCGACTTCGTACGCTCCTTCATCTGACAGCTGCAGGTTGTGAAGCAGCAGGGAGCCATTGTCAAACACCTGGATGCGGTTTCTGTACTCAGGCCTCAGGTTTCCTATAACATCTGTTCCTATTGACTGTACAACAGTGACAGGTTTCACTTTGTCCCTCTTCAGCTGCCACTTGATGACGGGCTTGGCTGAGCTGCTGCTCGTGTAGCTGACCGACAGGAGGGCCTCTCTGCCCACCGTGCCCCTCACCATCTGGGTCTGGCTCGTTACATTCACTCCCAAAGTCTCACCTGCAGAAAGGCCAAAGAAACAGAGGTGAGGTCCTGAAGTGAGGAGGGGAGATCCATGGCGAGGGGTTGGCTGAGTGAATAAAATGCAGCTTCTTTGCAGCCTGTGGTGCTTTGATTGGATCAATTTTAAAACAAGACGTGCTTTAAGTAGAGTAAAAAACTAAATAACAGTAATTCATGTCATAAGTTCTAATTGAAATCTAAATCAGAACAGAAGGAGAATGTTTTAGGTCATCCGAGGAAAAAAAAAAAAATGGTACCACTTTAAAAATAAGGCTCCCCTTATACATGGCTAATAAATAGTTTATAGATGTGTTATTAAATCCCCTATAAACACTTTATAAATTATTAATAACTGTTCATTATTCATTATTTAAGGGTGACAGAAACAAAACTGACCAGTTTCTTGCCAAATCTGTTCACCTATATTCTTCATCTAGAGTTGTTATATTAAACATTTGAGATTAAAGTTACTACCTTGTAAGCACAATAAGAATTTGTAAACCTATTTCTTTAGCACATAATATTGTATTTTATCACTTCATTATAAGTACCTACAACAAATATTGTATCCTAAAATAATTAGGTTTACAAATGCTTATTCGGTAGTAACTTAGTCTGGAATGTTTAATGTAACAACTCCAGATGAAATATATAGGTGAACAGATTTGGCTCTCTATTTGGCAAGAAACTGCCCAGTTTTGTGTCTCTGTCACCCTTAATAAATGCATAATAAACAATTATTAATGGTTTATAAAGTGCTTATAGAGACATTAATAACATATCTATAAACTATTTATTAGCCATCTATAAGGGGAGCCTTATTGTAAAGTGGTACCGAACAGGTAGAGTACAATTAAAAAAATTATTAGGTGTCTGTGTTCTTCTCAAACCGTATCATAAATTCTGCCTTTAACTTGAAATTTGTATTTGTTTGGAAATGTTGAATTTGTTGTTGTAGGTTTACTTGTCATAATCTACAGTATTCCTTAATAAACAGGTTAAACAATTTGCTGTCATATTTCCAAAAACATTTGTGGATTAGTTGCAGTAGAATTCACCTTTTTGTTGCTCAGTCGTTGTAACAGAGAAAACAAAACAGCATAAAACACCATGAATCCATGTTTCCATCTGACCCAGTCTTGTAATTAAAGCAGTAAAAGAAAGTGTTTTACATCATGTTTTCTTAAAGTGTAGAAAACTGAACTTGTATAATTTTTGTTTTCTAATTATTATTTTTGTGTGTGTGTGTGTATGCATACAGTCATTTTGATATCAAAATCTCATATTGTTACTCTACTGGTTTACCATGCGATATATTTCTTTTCCCTTTACTGTAGAGATCTGCCGTTCCAAATCCACGAAGGAAAGCTGCTGATGGTGAACTGCTGACCTGCCTCAGTTCTTTGTAGTCTACACTTTTCATTTTGATGTTTTGCACATCACTTTATGACACAGTCACATAATGTACACTTTGTAGCTTCATGGTTCAGAGGCAAGAAAGAGCAACATCAGTTAAATAATTAAAAGCTTAGCATTCCTTGAAATCATGTATATGCCGTTAAAAAAAAAACCCTGATATCAGCTTACTGTATGTTGAGAAATGTACGAGCTGTGACCATTTTGGTCAAATTTTGAAGTAGGCAGCAAAGGTCAAAAGAAAAGTTTACAAGACAGTGGTGAGACCAGCTATCTAGTATGTTTGGAGACAGTGGCATTGACAAAAAGACAGGAGAAAGAACTGGAAGTGGTAAAAATGAAGATGTTGAGGTTCTCCTTAGGAGTGACGAGGAATGAGATCATCAGAGGTACAGCACATGTTGAACAACTGGGAGTTAAAGTTAGAGAGACCAGACTGAGAAGGTTTGGACCTGTCCAGAGGAGGGACAGTGGGTATATTAGTAGAAGGATGTTAGAAATGCAGCTGTCAGGAAAAAGACAGAAGATATATGGATGCAGTTAGAGAGGACATGGAGTTGGAACGAGGACATGCAGAGGACAGAGAGGGATGGAGGATGACTCGATGTGACGACCCTGAAGAGGAAACGGTGCAAAGAAGAAGAAACAGACAAACTGATGAACACAAAAAGCCATGGGAAAAACAATGTTGTCTACCTTCACCTTTTGGCAGTGGATGATTAAAGAAACAGGATTGGTTCAAATATTATGTAATAAAACTATGTACAGCAACAATGTAGCAAAAAGAAAAAAGAATAAAAAAAAAAGCACAAAGTGATGTCACACTCAGAGTGTGTGTTGTGAATTACTCTCACTTACAAGCACACCAAACTTTAGCACAGGATCTACAGTATAAAAGTGACTGGATCACAGCCATGTTTGTATTTCCAAGGTCAGTCGGTTGTTGCAGAATCTTCAATCAAGTTGACTCCAAAAGCAAATCAGTTGTCGAGCTACATGGAGTGATTATTTCCTGAACGTTTCATTAAGATCCATCCACTGGTCTTTGACATGTTTTCCTATAGAGTTGACTCCAAACAATAAAAAGCATTTATTTTTTACAACAATTTTACACAATCTGTTAGTACTAAAATTATATGTTGGGAATCATTCTATGCTATTACCACAACAATTATTAGGTCAATATACATAGGCGTTTTTGTGTGGCTAACAGTTATGTAATCCATATACCGGTAGATGTGTATCACTTTTCGTGTGAGTTTTATAGCAATTTGTTCAATGGTTCTTGGGATATTTTGGAAACAGACTGATGAACACAAAAAAGCCATGGGAAATCAATGTTGTCTACCTTCACCTTTTGGCAGTAGGCGATTAAAGAAACAAATAATTGGCTCAAATATTATGTAATTAAACTATGCAGCAACAATGTAGCAAAAAAAAAAAAAAAAAAAAGAAAGAATGCACAAAGTGATGTTTGTTTCAGCATGAAGATTTACAAATCTTTGACCTTTATGATAAGATTAAAACAGGAGTCATTGTTCTTTAAGAGTTTTGTCTGATATATTTTGTTTTTCAATTTTTAGCTATTCAGACCTCATCATGGCACACATGCTGGTTTTTAAGTAGGCCCAGAATGTCCAGCCACATCTTCATAAATCAGTTTATCAGAAACTCCCTCCAGGAGTCTCTCCGCTGCGGCCTCTTGCAGAGAACAAGTAATATACTAATTTTGATTTGTTTTCCTCAGTTATTGTCTCCCTCCCACAGGGGTGCAGGGGTAGGGTTTTATAGCGTGACTCACATTTCACCTTTACAGTAGAGCCCTGTCTTGGTAACCAAACAAAGCCAAGTTATTATGTTCACAGTGGAGGTTCCTATAACTCAGCTGTAGCTGGGCACATGGAGGCCCAGACATTGGCTTAAAGGCCCGTTGGGGGCATCCTACTGTTCAGTGATGGAGAGATCAGCTTAACAGAGCGAGAGAGAGGGAGGAGAGGGAGTCACTATTCTTTACAGAGAGGCAGTTAGCAGGGCATCACCGCATCGCTGTGGCAACCATTTGGTCCGCCTGACAAGGGTTGCCAAGGCAATAAGGACAAAGGGCACGATTGTTAGAACTAGTTTTCTCTCTTGAAGAGTGAGAGGGTTAGAAAGAGAGAAAGAGAGAGAGAAAAAATTCTTTGTCACTGGTGAAGATGGATACACAATCCAGTTATTCTGCCAAATCTAGTCCGGTTGGATAAACTGGTCCCATGGTACAGCTGCAAAATGAGACCACATTATATATATATATTTTTTTTTAAACTTTTCATCTTTATTTCTCTCAACTTCAGTAAAACAAGAACCCAACACGGCCTGATTTACTGCTCAGAACTAAACAACAACACTGTCACTCTTTAAACTAAAAGCCCCTTCGATCTCCTCTTCATGTCCTTTGAAGCTTTAAAATGTGAGCTCAGTGTTGGGAACCACCCATGAACAAATCTATTCAGCTGCCAATTCATGGAGCATAAAAGAAACAAAAACTGACTCATTTGACCTAAATATTGACTTCATTTCAACTTATTTGGAATTAAAGTGTTGTGAAACGTATGCAAGCAAAGGATTTTACTCAAAGACCTTGAAAGTATAAGGACATGTCAACTAAACTCAGTCAGGCTTCTTTTTCATACATTTATAACGTATTTACTTGAAAAGAATGCATGTCAATGCTTGGACCTACCTGTGAAGATGATGAGGAGGAAGAGGCCAGAAAGTGTCAGTAGTGGAGGAATGCCTCTGAAACTGCCGCCTGTAGAGGAGGACTTCCTCTCCACCTTCATCTTGTGTCCTGGGCAGAGTCTTTCTCCCGCTTAGTGAACATGGTTTATCCACCCCGGGCACGTCTCTGTGCTTCAACGCTCTCCCCACCACTGCCTGCCACACTGGCCTCTGCCTGGTCCCACTGAGCCCCACTCTCCCCACAGTCATCAGCTAACAACAGCCAACTCTGTGTGTGCATTTGTGCACGTGTGTCCCTGTGAGACAGAGACACACTGTAGATCTGATCTTTTCTTCTGCTCAACTTTGCCCCTTTAAAAAAGGAGCTCAAAGAAATGATTTAACAAGCGACGTCACGTCATAATTGGATGTTATCATTTAAAGTTGTCACCCCCCCCCCCACTAAAGATGTGCTCTAAAATAAACTCAAAGTGAGCAATCAAAAACTTAATAAGTTCAGCTACTTTGCAAAAATACTTGAGCTGAGAAAGCAACCCACTTGAAACCCCCCTTCTTTAGTCACATTGTTGAACTCCTTTGAATTGGACCCGTCCAATAAACTCGGTGTATTTCTTGTGAACCAACCCTCCAGTCAGACTTGAACATACGGCCCCTGTTTAGTGCTAATCTTCCACAGTAGCTTAAGTCAGTGGTTCTCAAACTGGGGTCCCCGGACCCCCGAGGGTCTACGAGCTGGTACTTGGGGGTCCGCAAAAAACCCAAAGCATTTTTTTTTTTTTTTTTTTACAAGCACACAGATGTTTAACAACCCATTAAAATACACCAAAATGCAGGAAATCACATCTACTTTATTCAAAATTTTCCGGGGTAGGACCCCCTCGCCCACTATTTGCATTCCGGCATCGATCAGTTTACAAATGAAGCCCTGTTACTTGGTATGACTACTGCTGTTATGATCCTGTTCAGTTTTATTTAAAAGAGTTTTCTGTAATAATTTTGAAGTAGCAACACATTTGTTCAAGGGCAGCACGGTGGCGCAACTGGTAGAGCTGCTGCCTCTCAGCGAGCAGGTCCTTGGTTCAAACCCCGGTCCAGGGGCCTTTCTGGGCGGAGTTTGCATGTTCTCTCCGTGCATGCGTGGGTTTTCTCCGGGTGCTCCAGTTTCCTCCCACAGACCAAAAACATGCATGTTAGGCTGATTGGTAACTCTAAAATTGTCTCTAGGTGTGAGTGAGAGAGTGAATGGTTGTTTGTCTCTATGTGTCCCTGTGATGGACTGGAGACCTGTCCAGGGTGTACCCCGCCCCTCGCACAACGATTGCGGACATGGGCACCGGTGATCCCCGTGACCCCAAATGGACGAAGCGGGTAAAAGATAATGGATGGATGAAATTTCAAAAAAAGTTAATTAAATATGTCTTGAATGAAAAATATCCCATGTTTAAAAGTATAAAAATTGCAATAATACTATTAAAGAACAGATCTTAAGTATTTATGTTACACAAACATTTCCATTGCATCAAAGAGACAAATAGATGAAAATTATTTAATGAACGTGAGGGTTATGAGGGTGTCCCTGAAACTTTCTCTCCCCTGTAAGGGGTCCCTGAACCCAAAGAGTTTGAGAACCCCTGGCCTAAGTAATCAGGAGTTTAACCAGAGGCACTGCAAAACAACAGACTAATTAAGGTTGTACCTAGTTTTTCCTCTGGGTCGTGTAGAAGCTGCATACAGGCAACACATGATGTTTCAAAGATAAAAGCTTTCTAAAGCCTTGGCTGTGCTTTTCTTATTAAAGAAAAACATCAAGTTCTCACCTGACAGAAAAAAAAAATGGGTACAAGCAAAACACAAGAACATTGTTTAAAGATTAACGAACCTCGGCTGTTTCTTCGATGCCATCAGTTTTAAATTAAAACATTTTTTTTTTGAAAGTTTGTCAGATTTTATTTTTTCAGACGTGTCAAATCCCCAGATGTCACATCAGCCTGTGATGTTCCAGCGTCGTCTGATGAGTCAGCTTCGTAAGTCATCTTACCCACCTCCAGGAATTCTTTTGTTACGAGTGTTTTTCTTTCTTTTTACATTACTTTACAGCATTTTGTTGGAAAACAACGACCACTTCACTGCAGAGGAGGACGCTCGGCCGACATTGGGAGTGGAGCCACCACCCACCCCTCCCAGGGGTTCAGTCTCCTAGCGAGCCATCAAAGTCCAACCTCTCCCCTCCACCTTTGCCCTCGCTAAAAGCCCTTCGTCTGATCTTCTAACGCGCTCTGAATCAAGAGGGACACTTTTCAGCCGGCAGAGGGAGAGCTGGGGGAGCGACAGACGGTTTAAGGTGAATCTTTTATGACAGGCACCATGGATGAGTTGGGCGGTGGTTTGTTATGACTGACCCTCTAAAAAACACATTTTATTTCACTGCAAACTGAAAGTGTATCTGGAAACCGTCCTCTCAGTTGTGCAACCTATTCTGAATAATAAATAAAGGTCCTGATAAGATGGCAGGCCTGCAGTGGAACCACTGGAAAAGTAAGCGTATGACTGCGCCCCCTGCTGTTTGTCCTGCCTTATTCGTCTCTAATTATCTCCCAGGAGACTGGAGATCTTTTTCTCACTGACAAGCTGTCTAAGAAGTAGAACAAGGCAACCAAGCAGATCGTTCTTATGATGTACTCTTAAAATAGACCAAGTTTGCAGAGGGAAGGGGGCAACTTGGACGTTTAAAGCAACCATGCGCTCTACAAACGTGTTTTCACATGCAGGTCCAATAATATCCTGACTGATGTGATTCTCTGGGTATTCTTATTTAATGTCTTTTTTTTTTCCAGCGTCAGAATTCAATCTACAGCACAAAGTGGGTGTTGTGCTATGTTTGGAGGAGTGCATGGTATTGATTGTTCACCCACAGTCATTAAAGAGACAGCAGAACGTGGCCGTGGCTCCTCTGGGACTGAGTAGGAGAACAAACCAGGTCCAAATAAAACCCGTAGAGGACGTTTACGAGATGGAAGAGGAGGAGAAGGGAGGGATGTCAGCCTGAGGAGGAAGTGTTTGCACCCTGCAACTGCAAAACCACTTCTAACTGGATGTTGGTCGTCCTGTCTCTACAGCTGATGACACAGCCCGTCAACACGTGCGTGTGCGTGACAGAGTGACTTGAGTGCGATCTGCCTGCTAAAGTATGGGTTGTGTTTTTCCTGTGTGAGAATGCATGTGCAGCTCGAGCTTGTGCAGTGTGCTGCGTGGCTCAGATGTGTGTGGGTGGGCTGAGTGGGTGCGCTGGGAGACTGAAGATGCTCTATCCTGCTTCTCATAAAGCCAACAAGACTGCCTCGGCAGATGAGGAGAAATTAAAGTGTGCTTTTGTGATGAAAATTGCTTTTTGTACGTTATAAAGTACCTGACAAGTACACGCATCCCTTTGCGATCATGCTTTGTGATACAATTTTATTTATGGCGTTGAATATTATTATTTAAACTGTGGTGGTATCAAAACAGAGTACCTTTGTGTCGTGCAGCTAACACAGCAAGAGCTAAATACACATTTATGTCATGGATTATTTATGAGATTTCTTGTGTAAGAGAACCACACGGGAGGCAGAACATTGTTTCATGTTTAAGAAAACATTTTTTTCCCTCCAAATAAAAGCTGTTTTCGTTAAAAAGGAGGGCGAGCTGCTTTAAGTTCTGTATCGTTATGCAAAGATATTCAGGTTTTTCTTTTGTTTGTTATCAAGGGACAACATTTATGTGATATGAGCTTGAAACAAACTAGTTTAAAACAGACATTTCACCATATGTTTAGAGTAAATTTATTAGTGACTCGACACCAAAATTCAGGTACTATCCAGTTACTTTTAAAGCCCAAAGACTCGGGAAACTCTTACAACTGTTTTCTCGTACAAGCAAATCCCACTGATACAAAAAAAAAAAAAAAAACAAGAAAAAAAAACAGAGCACACTGAACTAATGTGTCATAAAGCTGTACCAAACCAAAATGCATCTGGAGAAAGTGTGACGTCTGCATGCTCACTGCTCTGGAAGATCAGATTTTATAGAAAATGTTTGGAATTGTGAAAAGACGTATGCAATTGGAGCGTTAGATGTAAACAAACAGAACATACGTAGCTACTTCTCCTTTAGTGATTTGTATGTTTTAATCATTTTTAGAAGCAAGTCAGATAACTGTCAGGATACAAGCATGTCAAAATAACGAACAGCATAAGCCAATAATTAATGCATAACAAGGTGTGCACACAGAATATATGCGCTGATCCATTCAAAAGAAAAGCCCCGTTTAGCATTTAGAGGACATTCATTTTCACATTCACAGATCATCATCTAAAAACTAGCACAGTACCAGAAGTTTCACAAGTACATGCAGCGAGTCGCAAGTTCTGGGTCAAACACATCCGCACGGATGAGGCTGCTGAAGAAGCAGAGCGGGAGTGTTAAAGTTCACAAAAATCACATAACACACCCTCAAAACTGTTCATTTTCTACAGATAATTTGTGTTTAAAAAAAGAAAGAAAGAAAATGACTTGAGGTTGGGGGCGGGGGTGCAAAAAGGTGTGCCTGAAAGCCAGCTCAACCAGCTTAAGCCAAACTTCTCCCACTACCTTAACTCCTCCTCCTCCCTTCCATCCAGGTCAGGACAGGGGCGTCACTGTTCCGGCACAGATGTGTCGTCTCTCCCTACTGCCCCCGATCTTCCTGTCTCTAAAAAAAGACACAGGCGAGGCACAGTTAACAAATGAACCTAGAAGGAACGGTTCTGCATCCATCCATGTGGTCAAGGGTAAAGGATCAAACACAAAAGCTAACTTTATTACTGACCTAAGAAAACTGCACACCCAGCTGTTCAGTGATAATTAATATAAAAACACACTGCTCTGCACACATTTATTAAGAATGATACGTTTGTGAAGCAATATTACTGAGCATAGTTTTAAAGTATTTTCTTCACAGCTAATATGACTGATGAGCGTGTATCATGTGGAAAGGGGGTCTCCCCCCAGTGGGAGGAGCTCAACGTGCTCGGCTCCACTCAGACAGCTCCATTAATTATGCTCGGCCCTTTTAGGCATAGCGTACATAACACACCTGGAGCTATAAATATAGCTCCTACCTAAAGATTCAAGGCAGCCGAAAACTAGGTTAGTGAAAAGCAATAATGTGGTAACTACATCATTCCTACAAAAATGTACCCTTACTGGGTAAGAGCCACATTTTAAGTGGCACTAATCTGAAGATTTATTTACTCACAAAACCTCTTTCGGTGGTTCTCACCATCACTTTTCTTTCCTGTCAGTGAAGCTTTCTACATTTCTTTCTTTACGCGGAGAAACTTTAGTTTGTACAATATCTGAGTAATCTCCGATATATTGCGACTGTAGAAAATAAAAGGTAAGCACATAATGTAACTTGACATTTTCTAAGCAAATGGATCTCAAACATTTTTTGTATCTTTGTTTAACAGCACACCTAAAAGTGGATTCATCCAAGCCCTTAAGCATAAAAAAGACCAACTAACTGATTCAATCATCTGTTGCTGAAGACCCCACGGGATAATTAAATGAGTCATTCAGTCTTGTCTTGCATTAATCACACTTGGGTTAAGCCATAAGGGGCTTTAATAGATGTTCTGAATTATTTATGGATTTAAAGTGGATTGTTTTCCTAATGTGTATAACAGTAAACCAGTTTGTGTTTCTGCATTATGCTGCTCAGAGGTAAGACTACGTCTCCTCAAGGCATTAGACCATACATAACCACTTCATAGAAATATAAATGGCTACATTACTTTAGAGAGTTTTTCACCACTTACCTTAAGTCACTTAGTGTAGTTAAAGTTTGCGGTGGGAGCTTAACTTACCATATGAACAATCACTAACCCTAATGCCCATTTTAGCAGCATTATGGGACTTTATTCTTACCCCTTGGCTCTACAACACTGACCTGAGACCCCCTGGCTGTTGAGCACATCCCCAGTGCTGCTCACCTCCTCCCCTTCAGTTTTGTCCTCTGGCTTCATCTTCTTACGGGTCATGTGGCCACGAAAGCCCGCCTGGATCTTGGCAGCAGCCCTGTTAGCCTCGGGGTCATCCAGGGGGATGTCCATGATGTCCTCCTCCTCCTGGGGCCGGCTGCACTCCTCCTGTTAAAAGGAGGACAACCGCGACGTAGTTTATTATAGCGGGAGAACAGATTTTATGAACGTGATGATGTTTATATTTATGCAACACCAGTGGGAGTATTTCATTGTTAACAGACTGTGAGACCATATTTCATAATGTTAACTGTTTATGCGTAACAGCTCTATTTTCTTAATTTATTTTTAAAAGCATGTTGAGCTTGCTTAGTTATGCACCATCATTACATGATTTCAGCAGCGTTCTCAAAGGGTCAACATCTCACTTTATTTTATACTCTTTTTGTCATTGGGAAAAAGTGGGAAAGTCATAAATCATCTAGAGTCTAAAGGGTCAACTTAAAAATAAGAGACAAAGCAAAGTAGACAACTAAAATATTAGGTAGAGTAATTATCAGTCGTTTTTTTTTTTTTTTATCATAGCAACACAGCTCACAGTAAAAAAAAAAATCTTATATTTAAAATAATCTTTACCCCCCCACCCCCACCCAAAAAAAAAAAAGTTATTGCTCACAAGTTTAGCCTAAAATGAATGATCCAGCAAAAATGTTGCTGCAGTCAACAGCAGCCACTCACTCGGATGTTGAAAGTAGCTAAACTACTGTCCCAAAGGAAGTGAGGAGTGGGCGGAAAAGAAATCCAGGTTTGTGACAAACTGTCAGTGGAACAGTGCCAAGGATATTGACGAGTTATGTAAACACCTATTCAAATCGAGTGGAGATAATAGATAAGGGATACCTTGATGCTTTTGCTTATGGACACAGACTGGCATTTCATACGCAGGCAGCCCACAGGATGATCCCACTGCCATCCCACTATCTCGGTGAAGCAGAGGATCATGTCTCCAGTGAAACCCCTCCAGTGTGGGAGTGTGACCACCCACCTGTTCGGCCAGCTTTCATTAGCCTCTCTGTCTGACTGCTCACTGAGCAGCCAGCTCTTTCACAGGAGCAAAGATACACAGCTGCACTGGATTGTTCTGCCAACACACATCCTTTGGGATGTTGTTGACTCATGGGTCCTAATCTGATAAAGGTTTGAAACATTCCAATACAAATCTTAGACAATGTTATCCACTTTTAATGAAAAGGTTATTCCAGTAAACCTCTTTTTGCCCATTTGGTTTGACAATTGTACCATTTAAGAAACAAAAACGATTAGTACCTAACATACATTAGATCAAAAAACAAAGAAACACAACAAATACAGCGGCAGTAAACAGTTTGGCAGCACTAGTGACAAAGTCCGGTACCCAAATATCAGAGTCTGCGTCTACTGAACAAACTAAGATGTGGTTGAATGCGATTTTAATTTTCTGCAAAAGTAAATCTGAAGCATCTACTTACATTGTGACAGTCCATTTCTTACTCTCCGAGATGACTTTAGTCTTCAGCTGAGTTGACTTAGGATAACTTTTGTGGATAAATTTTGACGTAGGCCAGGTAAAGTGCTCTTTAAATGTGTCTCCGATGTGATACAGATGCCTCACTGGCTCTCGCTAACAGTGGCTGTATCTTCAGTAACAGCCGCTCACGCACAGAGCGAGGGAGAGGAAGAGAGGAAGAGAGGGAAATAGAGACCTCCTACAAACATGCCAGCATGTGTTTCATCTTTCCAGTCTCATTAAGGTTACTGACCCACTCTGTTCACTTTACTTGCAACATATTAACAACAAAGTACAACTTAAAGACATAAGAAAAACAAATAAAGCAAACAAACAGAAAATTATAAGCACCATGTGAATAAGAAACCCAGTGACCACCACATGCAATCAGCGTCACAAAACTCCACGTTTCTCAGTCACAGCAGCAAACTCCAAAAATAAAAACAGAATGACCAACTTAGAAATATCATGTAAATTCCAGATGGCCATAAATAAACAAAACATTAATTGCTGACTTTCAAGTTCCACTAATAGTGGGAAATGCAAAACTGTGTAAGCATCTTGGGCTATTTTACACTAGGAGGTGTTATAAATTTATTAGAGGCAGAGTGAGCTAACAGCCCTCTCCATCCCTCTGATCCCAGCTGGTATGGCCGCCCACACTCCTCTGCCAGCCTCACAGACAAGTCAGAGAGAGGGAGAAACAGAAAACATCCATTTATCCACGTTATATCTTCAACAGTAACACGCACCTGCCAGTGTGCTAAATATTTAAACACCATGATAAGTTAGGCACATGACTAACTGTTGATCAGCCTCATCAATCAGATGGTTGACGTAGAAATTGGAAGCAGTGTGTATTTAATTGTACGCATCATTATATGTTTAGTTTTCGTTACATTTGACTGATTATTAGTATCATTTATCTCAGGTGATTAGGCCTTTAGTGTATACTCATGGAGACTTGCGTAAACGCAAAGTTCAAGGCATAAAAGTAAAATATCCACATGGAAAAACTAAATTACAGATGGATGCTCTGAAAAAAACTCCAACAAAAAAGCTTAAATATTGTAGAAGCTTTGTGGTTTGAGCGAAGAGATCGTTTACTTTTTAATCAGAGTTAGAAACTGCTTTAAAAAGGTAGATTTGCTGGCACAGAGGGTGCCTAGCAACTATCAGCATCACCATCTCCTGTTAATTCCATGACGACACTGAAAGAGAGCAGGATGGTGAGGAGTTACCATAGTAACGTTCTCAGCACCTCTTCCTACACTCCCTCCCCGTGCGTTTGGAGCCTGGTTGGTCCCGACAAACCAGACGGGGCTACCTGTGACAGCAGTAACTGTTCGAGGCCTAATCTCAAGGCAAATTGTTTTGTCTTTTATGATGACAGATTATCCAGTCAAGCGTCAGTCTGCGGAGGCTGAGCTGGTTCCCTAGGGGAGACTTGATCTGCCTCAGACAGTTTTTATGAACATTCATCAGAGCAAAAGCCTCAATAAAGAACCACTCAAATCCTGAGAAACTTTTGAATGTGAAAGCTAGAATGACTTGGAGAGACATTGAAAGTGTCAGAGAAACAACTGAAAGCTGAGCGTTTCAGAGATCCACCCCAAGGGATCTACTCCTTGTTCTATAAGGGATTTTATATAAAAAGCTTCCTGCCAGAAAAATGGAATATGTCCAGAATAGTTAGTCATCTCTGTGTCAAAGGTTCACCTTCAGATTGCTTTTAGGTGCGGAGAAGATGAAGGGAGTTGCAATGAAGGTAGTCATATTGACAAGACTATTTTATCACAAGTTGTAAACCTGGAATTTTGACATACAAAAATGTTTGAAAATCAATTTTACATGTATGGAGCGTTAGAAGGAGCAAGATTACCTCATCGACTTTGGTTACAGATGCTGTAGTGTTCTCCTCAGACTCATCTGGCCTGTCCTCCTCTTCAAGGTCAGCAGCTGTCCAGTCTGCACCACTCTTTTGATGTACTTCAGAAGCTGTCATTTTCTTCATGCATTCCTCTTCTTCCTCAGATGAGATCTCTTTTACGGCTGAGGTATTCTCTGGTTGTGGATGCCCAGTTCTGGGGCTTTGCTTGTTTTCCAGAGGTAGATCTTCATTGAAGGTTTCCACCTCTGCCTCTTTTCCACTGATTGATGTATTTGACTTGATTGCGTGTGATAATTGTTCTTCCACGCTGCCATCAATAAGGTCATGACTGCCCATCTCTCTGTAACCCTCTTCATCTTCACTTGTGTCTGCCATCTCGTCTTGTTCAAAGTCTTTCGACTGTTGCTTTTTCTCGGGTTCCTGGTTTTGGGAAAATATCCTCTCAAATATTTCCTCAGTGTCTTCGTGATCAGTTTCATGTTCTTGAATTTCATCTTCTGCCTCTGTAATGGGCTGATCTGATGAGCTGATTCCTTTAACACTTGCTTCATTTTCACCATCATTATCATTTAGATTGGAGCTGTTTTTTTCCACCTTTTCTTCAGTTATAGCAAACGCTGCATGGATTTCCTCTTCCTCTGAATGACTCTCATCCGTGTCCTTTTCGGGTTTGAATTTAAGTTGATATTCGGAATCAGACATATTTGGATATGATGAAGTTGCAGTAAGCTCCATGGACTTTTGTTGCATTTCAAATTTGTTATTCTGTAAGATCTCCACTGAAGCATCTTGCACAAGATTTTTCCCCTCAACTTCAGGAATGCCCTGAGCCTCTGGAGCATCTTCAAAGTTAATTTCAACCAAAGAATCTTTTGGCATAACACTGTCATCTAAATCGTTTTCAAACGGTGCTAACGCTTCATTCGTTTCCCCATAAGAAGCTTTAGCCTCTGTTCTTTCCTCTTTGTTGTCTTTTTGTGCCTGATCATTATCGTCTTGTTGGCTGTCTTGAGTAAAATCCTGTTTTGACTGTGACAAATCAGCATTTTCTTCTAGCTGGGGAGTTACATTTTTGTCCTCTTCAACATCTGTATTTTCCTGAATCGTGCCTTTGTCAGTTGTTTTCTGTGCTTCTCCCAGCTCTGTGGCACAAACATCCACATCAACCAGTTCAGATAACAGAAAGGACTCAACTGCTTCATCGGTTTCAGTATTCTCTTCTCTGTTTGGGTCAACAACCTCCTTATCAACCGCTTCACTTTCTTGTTGATCACCTCCGTCATCAGGCGGGCCCAACTCATGAGTGGTCACTTCTACATTTGGAATGTCTTTAAATGACAATGGAATGGAGGGTTCTGAGTCAAAATGAGGTGTATTTTCATCTGGATCATGGTGCTCATCTATTTCCATATCTGCCTTGCCAGCTTCCTCAAGTGTGGTTTCTGTAGGGTCTTCTTCCTTGTCTCCATCGTTTTCTTCATCTGACTGCCTGTCTGCAACAGATTTAATTTCTAAGCGTCCCTCTTCAGCTGAAATGGACAGTTTATCTGTCGTATTTATTTCTTCTTCATCTGTGCTTTCAGTTGAATCAAGTTTTTCAGAGACATGCGGTTGTGTAGAAAGACATGAAGCTTCTGACGAGGGACTTGATTCATCTTCAGTTTGGGACTCACTTGATTTTTCTCTAAAAAGTACAAAACAGCAAAACACAATGAACAAAGGTTATGATCAATAGAATGAGGAGAAATCTTCTGATACACAACTGAACAAAGTTACAGTTTTTAAAAACAACTGAATATTATTAAGCTTCATCGAGACTCAACTAGAACCTGAGACATTCCTTCTGCAGCTGGTGGTGTTAGGAATAATAGTTCTGCCTTTTCTTCTCATCCTCGACACTGAAAATCTGAGCTAAGATTCAGTGCTGTGTCGAGGTCTACTTTTTACTTTTACATTTTTCTCAAAAAAAAGGTTATTGTACGAGAAACTCTCTTACCAGTTAAAGCGTAATGCTAAACTATAATGCATAGGGCTAATTTAAAATATATTGCACTTTCTATAAAAATGTCACACCCTGTCATTACTGCACAATTATAATGTTTTAGAATACATTGTAGCGAACTAGGCCTCGACCTCAACCTGTCTCTGAAGACCTTCATGGGACAGGAACTGTTATTTCATTGATTTGAATCCAGAAATACAAATTAGCTCATCAAGAGACTATTAATTGTATCCTGAATTAATCAATTGAAAGAACACTCTTCTTTTTATATTATCATTACTATTTTACAATATCTTGATAATCAAAAGTGTGTTTAGTTCATATAATTTCTAATGATGAAAGTTAACCACTCATTTAAATCAACTGTGAAACAGTATTGATGATGTTTAAACCTCATTTAAATTAGAAATCAAGTTAAATGTCTATTTACAAAGTAACTATGCATTTTGATCTTCTGTCTGAATGAGAAGTCAGTGATGTCGGTCGAAAGTCAGAGACAGTCAGAGAACGAGTTATTAGAACAAAGTGTCTTGTTTTAATCCTAGCAGACGATAAATAACTTCCACTGGCATCTGAGTTTGTCTCACTTCGCCATAACATTTCTCCGTCTATACTAAACGTTCCTAAACATTCCTGCAGCCTCTCTTGACTTTTAATAACCCTCTGACATCACTAGAACCACCCCCTGTTGGCTGTTTCAACCAATCAGGAAGTACATCTAGACCGGAAGTGAGTACTCTTTTAAACGTCAACACTTCCTGGAACTAGTCAGTCTTCTCGACTCTTCAGTCTTTGACCGGAGTCTTCTTGGGTCTTTGATGGAGTCTTCTTGGAGTATTCCATTTCTGAGTGGGATCTCTGACAGAGTCACAGCGCCTCGCTGTGAACTCACCCGGGCGTAACGCCTACAACTTCGAAGGGAGCTTGTTCTGTTTACCGGAGTAAACCACACGACTTCTGACAATGACCAGCCGCTTTAACCGGAGACGCTGGAAAGGTAGCGTTGAAATGGACCCTGTACCGGAGTTGATTTATCTTCTACAAAGGTAACGAGTCGTCACGCACCGAGTGTACTGGGGGTTTGAGCTGGTGTTGAAAGAAGCGTGCTAATTCTGGTCAACAAACATCCATCTTTCCTCCATCCATCTTCCTCTAAATCTCTCCTCTTGTAAATCTTTTCGCCAGTAAATCAATCTAGATGCCTTCAGAAATGTTCTGTTGTCTTGTTAGTAAAGCGTGCCAAGTTTTTATTAATCAGAACCAGATCAACAAATCCTTCTG